GCCTCTTTCAAAGGGTTCCCTTGACCTCTGACCTCAAAATCTCTGGAATGAAATGGAAATGGGTTCTATGGGTACCTACAAGTCTCCCCTTTGCAGACATGCCCACTTTATGCTAATCCCATGCAGTTTGGGGCAAAAGCCTGCATACTGGGGTCCATAAACAGTGTTGGAAATGCATAATTTGGTAATGACAGGAAAGCTGAGACACATACTTAATGCTACCCCAGCATAAGTCAGCGCCCCACTTGTGCCACCCTAGTCTAAAATGTCTTGACACGCCCCATGCACCAAGGCGAGCCAGATTCCACTTTCACTGACCCCGAGTCCTCTTAATAATATGCTACAGCATGCGACTGAGTAATCCTGAACACTAATGACGCAAGTGTTTTTTCAAAGCAAACGGCCAAAGGAATCCTTTTTTCCCTCCACTGTTCCAGGCCATATATCTCCCAACACACACGCAGTCTGACCTTGATAAGAGCTGTGTGAGTTTGTGCGAATTGTGAACTTTAACAGCCAAATAAAGCACAGAGTAAACATAGAACAGCAGCCCTACCACAGTGGATTAGCTCATAAAGCAGAGTGTGGTGGGAACAACATGCTCCCACTCTGTCAAAACTGCCCTGAAATCTGCTTAAATCTCTCTCACTCACTTCACTGATTACCTGGAGTAACAGTCTGTCCCCACGCAGCAAGACAGGTCACCCTAACATTATACTGTGTGTGTGTGTGTGTGTGTGTGTGTGTGTGTGTGTGTGTGTGTGTGTGTGTGTGTGTGTGTGTGTCAGAGGGCCTGGGAGGAACAGAGCTCCCCCACCGGCCCTGCAGTCAAGGCCAGGACTGTATGCTGACTGCGGTCAACACAAAAGGAACAGCTGACGTGGCCCAACTGTTGACAGAGCACAAGGGACAGGACTCCCTCTCAGCTGTGTGTGCGTGCGTGTGCACAGGAAGTGCTTTTAACTAAAAATATTTGCTTGATTTTGAACCAGGTCAGGAGAATTCAAACACAAATCTGCGTGCTTTGCCACTCAGGTGTTAAAAGGCCACGCCAGGATGGAAAATCCAGAGAGACCAGCTCCCGTCCTCCTCTCCCTCCGCACTGATAGCTATTTATAGCCCACGCAAACGATGAGCGAGCAAATATGATAATGATGTCATAGGTTAAAAAGGCCTTACAGTATTGCACTCGTGGCAAATAAACAGAAGCAGGTTATTGTTCTGTACATGCAGCTGCACAGAGCAGAAACACATTTTGTGAAGGCAGTATTTTCAGCAGCAGCGTAACCAGCGGCATCTGAACTTGTGCTGGGATCATCAAACTATCTGTTAGACTGTAGAGCTACGAGTTGCTGCCGTTTTATACTCACAGAGGCAGGGAGGCAGGGGGAGGACGGAGGGAACCATCGCGGCACCAGCTGGTGTACAGTTAGACCGTAGAAATTTGTCAGATGTCAGAGATTTTGACGTACTGTTTCTCCCTCTAATATGGCAGGTTGTGTTGGACCACTGCAGGCAGAGTTGCAAATCAGTAGGCAGGGCGGTTTTATGGCAACAGTGGATTTACAGGGTTTTTATATCAATGTGATAAAGTGCTTTCATTCCTAAAGGTGCACTCCACTGATTTTACACATGAGGTTCAGTTAACTCAGTCCGTGAAAACAGCTGTTTAATGTCCGGAGGGAGTTTTCCAAAGCCTGACAAAAAACCATAACCGCGATGATGTCATAGTGTCATCAGGCTTATCCTGACTTTGGTTTATGACTTTTTTCTTAAAGTCTGTATCAGAGTGAAGGTGCCGGTTTAGCCAGGAGGGTCTAATCAAGATGGGCAATATACGATATTACCGCTTATCACATTAAAAAACATCATGGTGATAATCGTGATAATGGTGAATATCCTCACATGGCTTGACATGAAAAAGCTGTCCAGTTCTCCAGCAAACAGTCATATATTTATTTCCTCACTTAAGGGAACAAGGGGGAAGCTCACATCTTTCCAGTCAATCTAAAGGTTGTCACCATGGCTGAATGCTCAGCCTGCCCATTGTATTCCCACAAAAAAAGTTCAACCAGATGTGTGGAAATAGTAGATGGATAGATAGACGTATCCAAAATAAAGAACAGCGAGATGAGGTTCCTATCTGTGATGCAATAAATATTCCAAGTGCTTCCAGTATGTTTCAGTGCCATTTTAAAAGTATGACGTATATTTTTGTGATAATATTGTAACTGTCTCATGCCTAATGTGAGTGCATTATGGGAAATGCAGGATTCAACATTTTGGAGTCTGATCCGTTCTAGAGATTATTAAAGTCCGGATATCTCTGCATCTCTTGCTTTTGTTTTTACCATTCTTTTTTAAATCTGTCAGTATGTGAAAGTGCAATAATAAACCACTGTTTAAACTGTGTCCTCAACCATATGCAATTCAGTGCTGTAACAGTTGATTAACAAAAAATGTACTGCCAACAATTTTGTTAATATATTAATTAAGATAAAGTGTCAGTTGGATAAAGTTGGTTAAAAAAGTAATCTGAAGAATCAGAACATTTTAAAGGGCATTTTATAGAAAAAACATTTACAAACAACAACAGATTAATGAAAAATGAAGATCTCTAATCCCAATACATAACAATTTCTAGCCCTAATCCAGGGCCATACTGCGAATCCTGATTCTGCATGGATTTCTCCTGGAACTCAGACATTTCAATCAAACATCCATTAATAGAATTTGTTATGGGGAGAATGTTGAATGAAAAACCCTTTTCTGACATTATATGTCATGTCTGGCATTACTTTGCAGCCGACTGACGTTGGTTTTTCACAGCTCGTCAACATTCTTCCAGTAACAAATTTTACTGAGTGGATTTGTGACTGAATGTGTCTGAGTTCTGGGTGACAACCGTGGCGGACGCAGATAAGCAATACAGTCCATGATCAGGGCTGATATTCACTGGGATTAGGGCTGTGTGTGTTAAGTCTACAAAATGTCAGAAAATGCTGAAGCCCAGGACGACTTCTTGAAGTTGTTAATGTCATCTGACCAACAGCCTAAAACCCCAAAAGTTCAATTGACATCAACATTAAACATAAAACAAACCAAATCCTCTCATTGAAGAAGCTGGAACCAGAGAACGCTGGTCCTGGATCAGGGCTAACTGATAATGTGATAGAAAATTGTAAATATCATGATACACATAATGTGATTTTATATACATTTCCCAGCACTACATGGCATCCACGATACAGCTGACTCTCACAATATTATCACTTGTGATACTGTATACTGGATTTTTTATTAATAGTTTACATGTAAAGATTGATGCCAGCTGTTCATTTTGTGTTTAAACCCCCGACAACCTGACAGCAATGTTGTAATCTGTTTTCAGCAATCTGACTAATGCTATATGATGTTGGATGTTACAGGGACAGTGATTAAAAACAAATGCACATCCCACTGTTCTGATTGCATAAAAAGGTTTTTTTACTCAGATTTTAAACATAAGGTGTTTTTAACAATCACAGTATATCCCCATGCTTACAGTATCGCAATATATTGAATCCTAACCGGTGTATTGTGATATAGGGCTGCAAATATTTTCATTATTGATTCATCTTTTGATCATTTTGATTAATTGATTAGCTGTTGGTTCTTAAAATGTCAGAAACCTAAAGATATTCAGTTAACTGTCAGAGGACTGAAGAAACCAGAAAATATTCACAGAAACTGAAATCAGAGAATTTTTTCTTAAAAATGACTTAAAACAGTTAATGAACTGAAATTTAATAGTTAACTAATCAACTAATCGTTGCATCTCTATCCTGATAGCTATCATATGGGCACATTCCTGCTAGTACACATCCATACATGGCGTGATGACTAAAGATGTGGCCAAACACTGGACAAAAAGCACCTGCATCCGGAAAAAGATCCAATGGTATCCAAGTTTAGGAAAATGTATCCAGATCTGTATATCATATCATATCATATCATGTCATGTCATATTATATCATGTCACATAAAAATCTGTCAAAGATCCATGTAATAAATGTAAAGTATCGCCACCTTGGATACTACTGTAAAGTTAAACAAACAGAAAAACACATGAATTGAAAATGCTCAGAACATGCAGTGTGCTGTATGTACAGTGGCCAGTGGTGACCTAAGAACGTGTAAAGCTGCTTTAAAGCAGTCTGCCTGCTCCTGTGGATGAAATATTACACAATATCACACTCCATGATTTCATCTTCTGTTAGATGCAGTCAGAAATTAGCTGCATTTTCCTGCTAAAATGAGGATAGCCTGCATGGATACTTCCATTTATTAAACAATTAACCTGAAAGGTTTTGGCAGCCTTGATGGAACATCAATCCTGATAGTAGCAGCGGGCAGCTCTCCAAAGCAACTACGTCGCTTCAAATTAAAAGCCTCCTATGGTGGTGAGGAAAATAAGTCAGTGAACGCCGCTGTACACATTAACATCATTATGCCCTGATCATGTCTAAGCAAGGTGGACTTCAACCAACCCGCAGGAGCAAAAACTTGTTTTCTGACAGACAGCCGATTTCCTCTCCTGCCATCATAAAAACAAAGTCACACCCACTGATCCGGACTTTTACCACGACGGGCTGATACAGTTTGCTCTCCTCAGAACTAAAATATTCACGGTGCGCATACACTCAGTGTGCGCCTAACGGGATCCACATTACGCAATACGCGTGTAAAGCGTGCGTAGTCTGTGTGTGAGCCCGGAATAATCCCTGACAATGTCGAAATTACACGGGTCATTAAAAAGCCGATCCGTGACAAAGTGGCATAGACGTGTGCGTTTGATTTGGCTGCGTGGTTCCACCTGACGGAGATGGCACGGATAAACACCAGCCGCCCATCACACACTCCCTCTCTCCAGCCTCCGCAAACACACAGAAGCGGGGATAGAAACTTTGACAGCGCCCTGTTCGGCCGAACCATGTGGCACACATTAACAGCGAACTTACTTTTCCTGCATGACATTCTCCTTGATGGCTCCCAGGGTGGAGAGGGTGCCCTGCTGGAGCCTGCAGGTGGCCAGGTGCCGCTGGTGCTGATCCTTCAGGCAGGCGTTTTCCTTGCAAAGATCCGTCACCTGGAGCTCCAGCTCATCAATCCGGACCCTCTGCTTCTCCAGCAGCCCCTGCTGGGTCTCGATGATCTTATTCAGCTCCTTTAGATACTCCGCCGCCTTGCTGGGGTTCTCTGTCGGGTTCTCCATCTCGTAAAAGCCCCGTTGCCCGTCCATGAAGGCGATATCCACACAACCAGAGAAGCAGCCTTATCCCTCACACACACAAACACACACACACACACACACACACACACACACACACGCTCAGTAGTAGTAAGACTGAGCGCTGTCAAATCCACAGATCCTCCTCCTTCGCTCCGACATGGCTGGTTTGAGGTGCAGTGGTGGCAGCTTTACTGTGAAGTTGGCCGGGTTTGGTGCTCTGCTGTGCGCCGCCGCCGCCGCCGCCGCCGCGTCCACAAGCTCTGCACCGCAACAGCCTAACTAACCTCCAGCCAGCCGCTCCGTACATGGGAAAACCGTTTAACTCTTTCGGGGCTGGAGGTTCAGCGCTCCGGCTGCGCGCTCTCCGCCGCCTCACGTGTTGTGGGGACAAAAAAAAGATGAGAGTTTGTTCAATGCGTGTGTGTCCGCTCAACAGGTAGGCAGAGTTTGTGTTGCGCCAAATCACAGGTGCGCACTCACCTCGACGCCGGCGCTTATTCTTGCATGGTGTCAGCTGTGTTTGTTCATGCAAGAGGCACTTCCCCTCTCTCCACCAGCCTGTCAACAGCAGGTCGATATGCTTGGTAGCCTGGAAAAAGCCTGTTCTACGGAGATAAAAAAGATAATTTTAATGATCATGCAAAAAAGGAGTTCTAAATAATCCACTTTTCAAACTTAAATATCAGAAGAACTCAACAGATTAAAGGTCCAGTGTGTAACACTTAGGAGGATCTATTGTCAGAAATGGAATATACTATTTATAGGTATGTTTTCATTTGTGTATAATAACCTGAAAATAAGAATTGTTGTGTTTTCGTTACCTTAGAATGAACTGTTTTTATCTACAGACACGCCATGTTGAACCAACATGTTTCTGCAGTAGCAGTTCACGTTTTCCAGTTCTGGTCCTTTAATGTAGGAATATGCACTATTTCAGCACAGTATCTTGGATTTGTAGGCCACTTGGGGGCAGCAGAACAGTAGCCTATATACACATCCATCCAATATTCACTCTCTTTTTAGCTCTGTTTTGGTCTCTACCAACTCCTGAGAAAAATATCTGGCTCTTTATCTGATAAATGCTCCACTTTGTTCACCAGCTAGTCACTAATTCTGTCAGTAGTACAGCTGTCTGCTGATGGTACTGAGCAGGACATTTACGGGCCATAAAAACAAAAACAAAAAGCAGAAAGTTTCAGAGCTATGAGTGACCCCATCCACGTTACACATAGACATTCGACCCATTGTTAATATAAAAATATTGATTAGTGCAGCTTTAATACTGGCTGATATAATGAAGGTTAAGAGCTGGAACCAGATTTTTGTACAAGGATCCACCTTATCATGTCAGCATCATCCCATTTTACAGACAAAAACCACAGTTAATGAAATCACCAGAAACAATTGCCAGAGAATTTTCAGGTGTTTCCATCAGGAGTCTTCATACCAGTAAGTTCTTTTTCTGATTTCATAGCTAATTTCACTGTTTAATGCATAGACTTTGTTAAAGTTAGGCTACAACTCACACATTAAGTTGGCATCAGCCTTTTAAAAATAAATCTTCCAGAGGGAGTATGGATATTGGAGCGAGGGAAGTCATTAGAAGAAAACTGGACTTTATAAAATGATTAAGATGTTTTTACATAACTGAACCATTATCCCCACCTTCAATTCTCGAAGGAGAGTTTCTTGAAAAAGCTACTGTATACTGGTGTAGCTGATGTGCCACAGAACCAAAGCCATGACCTTTGTTACAAATGAAGCCCAGAGGCTCACTGGTTCCACAGCCTACAGCTGGTTGTGTGCACAGCAGCGTCTTTTTTAACTGTCCCTCTGCACTAATACCCTTCACCCCTGACCTTTGGTTGGTAAACTGCTACTCTCAATGCTGTTGCACCGCTCAGTGCGTCCCCCATGAGATAATTACAGATTAAGAACATTAAAGAACGGTCATATAGTGGTAAACCTGCATGTGTTAAAGGGAGGATATATTGTCAGAAATGGAATATAATATTCATAGGTATGTTTTCTTTACTGTATAATCACCTGAATATAAGAATGATCGTGTTTTCGTTACCTTAGAATGAACCTTTTTAACTACAGAGGGAGCAGGTCCTCTTCTACTAAGCCATGCCCACTAGTGATGTCACAGTGTACTGACCACACCCTGAGTGCACTTCTACATCACTGCAGCATGGTGTTAACTGTATCTGCTGTTAAAGTTGCTTTTGAGTGGAGATGGTGTGATTACATGCAACAAAAGTCCCCATTTGGTCTCATACTGGGAGCTACATGGTCAGCATTTTAAACCCCATATATCAACTGGATGCCCCAAACCCTTCTTACTGTACTTGCATACATCCCATCATGAGTGTAATGTAGCAGCTCCTTCGTCTGTCCTCAGCATGTGAACTCATTTCATCAGATATCCTGGAAGATGAAACACTGCTCTGTCTGTCTACGTACTGTGAGCGAAAATGTGATTCTCTCTCAATGTGCTGATGACCTGGGGTTATTCTGCCGCTCACACTGTGATCTACATATCTCTTAGATTAAATGTACCTCCCAGCACAGTGCATCACATGTTATCTGCAGCGCAGCCTGTTCAGATAACTATTCATCTATTCAGTAACCTGTGAATCCTTGGACACATTGGATAGGCCCACTGCAACTGCAGCAATCTATCATCCCGTGGGCATTATTTAGTCATTGGATTGTTTTGTCTCAACCTGAATTTGCTGTGTAATAAAGAAACTTGCTTGTGATTAAGATGATACAGGAGTTTGCCATTTTATCCAACGGCAGAGAAAGAAATTCTGTCCTTCCCTTCCCTGTGTTTGATTTGCTGTTAATGACTTCAAACTTGTCTGTGTGCTCTCTTTTTGCACACTGGAATGTATTCGCAGGCAGACCACAAATGAAGCCTGTCATTATCCTTCAAGATCACATGCTGTAGCTGCCGGATGCTTCTTTCACACAGTGATTGCCCTCTAGTGGTTTGCTGTGTTCAGGACATGCAGTGAACAGTGATGCTGACTTTGAATCAATTTTCTAGCTCAAAATCCAGACCTGTAAAGGGTTTTAACCAATGATAGGAGGTGACGTGCAGTGCATTGAGACACAGAGTTAATCTAGTCCCATCTGGTAAATGCAGGTTAAAGGGATGGAGGAGGCTCGCTCACATTGTCCACTGACAGGCACAGCACAGCAGGCTAAACCCTCACTGCCATCAGCTGCCAACCACTTGGATGCATTGCACCATATCTCTGATGAGAGAACAGGGAGTGATAATGTGCATAATTCACCGAAAAGATGCTATGATCCTTCGCTTGTAGAAATCTTCAAAGCAGCTAAGAGAGCAGAGGAGAAGTGAATTGTAGAAATGGTAAAATTTTCCACTTTTTTTCAGGAGTTATATTTAGACACAAAGGGTATTTTTTTGTCTTTTGATGCTACAGCTTCTCATCTTGCAAAGCAAAACGCACATGTAGTGTTCTGATCTAGCGAGTATTTTCTAGACGTTGATACTTCAGCTTTATGTGAGAGTTTCATCTCACAAAAGGCCAGCGTATCAAAGGTTGCTACAGTAACAGTGGCGGCTGCAGCTGTAATGCTAAGTCCCATATGTCCCCAGAGATGAAAGAAAGACAGGCTGAAGTTGGCCAAGGTGCTCAACCTCACACTCTACTGCGGCCGTCGATAAAGCGAAAACCCGGGCAGAGTGGCGAATTGGAAAACACGCATGGGAGTGTCTGTTATTCCTGCCAGCTCGCAGCTTGAGATTCAATTTGACTGCTGTGAGATGTTATCTTTCTTCATGGTTTAAGATGCAGGGATGGCCTTTTTGCAAAACCCCAGCGGACCGTTTGCTTCTCTCACCGAAACAACAAAGTTGCTGTCGGAGAGGAGGCTCTTTTATGTCCCCAACTGCAGCGTTCTGAAATTTTATGGCCACAGATTAATTTTTTGACCTCAAGTGGCTAGTTAGGATTTAATATCCACCCCATCAGCTGTTGTTTTATCCTCTGTTCCTTAAAACTCCTCACGAAAGATTTGGGGGATTTAGAAGGTTTCAAGGTTATTTATAATTTTCGTCAGTGATGCTGCAGACAGATTTGGGTCAAGTCTTGTCTTGGAGGGAAGGGAAAAAACGTGCTATATGCGAGTATTATCACCATTACCACCATTTGTCTGGCTGTACTGAGTGAAAACCTCTACAAAATGTACCACGATAAAACCATAACATAATTCTCAATTATAGTTTGGTCACTGCCATGACAGTACAATTCTATAGTAATACCATTGTGTACTATGTTACTGTACCATCATGATTTACCATGCCGCTGACTTTCTACAAACTATACCATGATATTGCACCATACTGTTATAAAATACCACGTGCAAGCACAACTAGCATCAATGTACAGTTATACAGAGTACAGTTAGCAATTATAAATATGTAACATCGAGCTACACTTTCAAAATAAAGCTTGCTGCGGTCACAGTTTGGATAGGTTTAAGAAAAGATCTTAAACTAAGATTACACACCTGACGCAAGTTATGAAACATAAAGTCAACGTTGACTTTGGTTTCACTTTGGTTTGGTTTCACACAGGATTCAAACAGTCCTGTGTTTGTTTGACCGATCCATCCCCCCGGTCCTATAAGGACATGGTTGCTCTTTATACTGCACCTTCATACACATGTGTACTATTCACATCTGGGTGAAGCTAAATGTGACACTGACACGGTATCCTCTAGTGGATCGGCAGACCTGCGGGAGTAACGGATAGCATGTAACGGAGTTACGTAATCAGTGTACAAAAAAGGTAACTGTAATTGTATAAGACATAATTAGATTACAGTTAGATTATTAGCAGGATTACAATTTTAACATACATTTATAAACAGAATACTACGCACATGGACAAACTTCACTCTGGTCTGGAGTGAAATCATAGCTAATCTTACAGCTGTTAATTCATTTGCATGGCCTCTGGTGAAAAAATGCTTTCACTGGGCGAAAATCTCACCATTATTTTGTCTTTAAAGCAGAAAAGGAACAAGATCACAGTACACAGCGAGGTCTGCCTTTCAGCTGTGAAATGCTCTGTAAACTACTGCCTGAATTTACTTCATGAAAAGAAAGTTTTTCTTTAAAATAAACAGAGCAGAGGCCAAAAAGTTACTTTTTTGGCCTTTATTAGATAGTGACAGCCGAAGACAGACAGGAAAGGGGGCAGAGAGAGGGGGGATGACACTTAGCAAAAGGCCGCAGGTCAGATTCAAACCCTGGGCCACTGCAGCAACCCCATACATAGGTTGCCAGCTCTACCAACTGAGCTAACTGGGCACTGTAACTTTAATGCTTTGATACTTGGATTAGGTAACTGACTACATTGTTTAATTGGTAATTAGTAACTGTATCGGATAACATTTATAATATAACCCTCCCAACACTGTGGATCGGCGGGTGTGGTGACTGTCAGTCTCTTT